ACCCGCCGGCAGGGTCTCCTGAGACTTTAAAGAGGCGAGAGCGGGAGCAGGTGCCTGAGACCGGACAGGCAGCGCGGGTCAAGCGAGGTGGACGTAATACCCGTGGGAAAGCCACAGAGCCCCTCCGTGCCGAGCGCTCACTTTGCGCCCAAAGTCATGCTCCGAGTGGTTCAGACTGGTTCAGTAACCCGAGCGCGGCCGGAGAGGACGTGGCTGGAACCCCCACGATCCAACTCTGTCCACCCGAGCTGCCTCTACCCCTCTACCCGATGTCACCCTACACCTTCTGCCCACCGTCTCAGCGCCGCCTCTGACCTTGGTGCCACACAAGTGTGTCGCTCCCTGTGCATGCGATCCTTCCCTCCTCCACGCCGAAACTTCCTCCTTCTCGGTGCGGTTCTAGTGCTAGGAGGAAAGTAGTGGCACAAGTCTCTGCCAAGCTTGCATTCCAGCGGGGGTGGTCACAAAGACACCAGCGAAGCGTGCCCCGCAGGCACATACAACGCTAGTGTAGTGTGGTGTGTGACAGACGTGCACCCGTGCACCCGTGCTAGGGCCAGGGTCAGGACCCCGCACGCATGAGACGTTGACGAGGGCCTATGCTAGGGAACAGAAATAGAGCAGGGCTGAGCACGGGGAAGGCAGCAGTATTCCTTGCTTTTTACAGGCCAGCTCCTCACTTTGCTGTGGGTCCCTTTCCTTCGTTTGGTTCCAGTCGTGCCTTTTTTCTTTGGCAACGTCCATCCCTTCCTCTTTCCCAGGCTGTTCTTTTCCCCTACGCTTTTGTCATTATCCATAGATCCCCGGGAGAGCCCTCTCTGTCTGCTGCTCAGTTTCTTTGCTCTTCCTGGAGCAGACTTGCTCTTCAACCTTGAGCTTCTGGGTAAGGGACTTGACAACCCCCTTGGGCATCCACAGGGGCTGCAGTAGAACAAGGCACATGACTCCCCCAGAGCAAGAGGTTTGATAAGTGAGACAGCTTGTATCCCCAGTGGAGGCCCCAACCTCCTAACTTTGGAGGTGCCATCCCAGCCATGTTCTATTTGTTAGAAGTAACCACATTCAAGGAGAGAGGAATTAAGCCCCACCTCTTGAGGGGAGGCATATTGGAAAAAAATGCGTGTTCATTAAAGCTTAAATTTCTCTTATGTGAAAAACCCCAACATATCTAAAGTATGAAATAAAAGACAAATAATAGGGGGAAAAGGTATTGTAATTCAGCGTGGGCAACATACCTAAAAGTGTACCTTGACTTAGCACAATTGTCTTACATGTTTTATATGTTCTTTGGCCTATTAGTCTGGTTTTTGATCTCTATAAATGATAATGAACTTTGTCAGGTCTTCTAAGACAAATAAATGAATCTGATGCTGGGAAAATAAAAGGTGTGGAGGGAGAGGAAGAAGGAAACTGAGATGTGTTATGCACATGTACTAATCCCCTGGAGTGAAAGTAATCATTATGTACTGCAAATACGGACAGATAAAAGTTAAAAAAAAAAAAAAGACTAAGACAATGGAGCTGGCAAAAAAAGAAAAATGCATGCACATCTTGAAAGTCATAACTCTCAAATACATATCAAATAATCCCACTTCTTCTCATTTCCACTGCTGTCGTGGTGACCCAGACCTATGGTCTCCGGGTCAGAACAAACCCCTCACTGTTCTCTCCCAAGCCCTCATTCCTGTCTCCTTGCAGCCCACGTAAATCAGATTATATCATTTCCTTGCTTACATCCTCTTTGCCACAGCTCCTCATTTTACTTTCTTATCATGGCCTAAGAGGCCCCACAAGAGCTGGCCTACGCTTATCCACCTGACCTAATTTCTCGCCATTCACTCAGCAGAGAGTGGTGGCGGTGGCAGCAGCTCTCCTTCCCTTGTGCACACGTGCCGCCCCTGCTGCGTCCCTGCCTTCACCTTCGCCACTCTTGGCTGGAACCCAATTCCCCTCATTCCCCGATGGTGCCATCTGCAGTGGCTTTCCTGCCATGGTCCCCACCGCCAGAGCTGATAGCAGATTGATGTCATCAATGCAGTTACCAGCTGTTAGGATAGTGACTTAAACAGTGGTTGCTAAGTAGCCATTCCTCTGGTCCCCAAGAGAGCTCATACAGCATGGACCATTTTGGCTCCTCTGGGGACATTCCATAAATGGCCACAGCAAAGTCCCTGTGATTCTTCTTTCAAGTAGTGTTGGTCTCACATGTGACTCATTACAGCCTGCTCTCCTCCAGCAGCATGCAAGAGGTGGGAGGGCCCTACCCTGTTGCCTACCTTCTGTTTGATCCCAGTTTCTGGTACAGGGCAGTTGCTCAAGTATTTTTAGAAGCTTGAATGAGTAGCAAAGGCTGGCTGTAAAGAGGCTGTGAGGAGCCAGGAGCAGAGAGTGGGCTGGGGAGTGGAGATGCTACTCTTTCCTCCTCTGACCAGGTGTCCTGTGGGCACCAGAGTTCCCAGATAGGACAAAAAGCCATGGCTTTTGTTTGAGGCCATTGGATATTTGTCCTCTTTCCTTCTTTTCTCAACCTGTTTTGTTTTCCTTCCTTCCCATCTGTAACTTCTCTTTCGAGGTCAACAGCAGTTTTCCCAATTAATTCATATGATACAACAGCGCGGGATGGCTACAAGGAGAGATCACATCTTAGGTTAACTTCTTGGTGACCTAAATACCTAATTTTCCTGAGCGTCCTCCCGTCTCCCTCTCCTACCACAGAATTCAGAGGTCAATTTACCATGCAGGGAAGAAGAAAGACACCTCCCCAAATACAAAAGGTGCTTTTGTTCTTTGAATATTATATACTATCTGACTATTTTTCCCATTCTGTAGATTGTCCCTTCATTCTACTAACTGACTCTTTTGCTATGAAGAAGCCTTTTAAATATGACGTGATTCTTCTTGTTCATTCTGGCTGTTATTTTTTTGTGCAGTTCTGGTTCTGTTTAAGAAATCCTTTCTTACACCTATACTTTAAGTGTTTTACCTATTTTATCTTCTGGTTGGTTCAATACTTCTATTTTAATGTTTAGATCTTTGATACATTTTAATATTAGTTTTGTACATGGTGAGACAAGAGTCGAGTTTCAATCTTCTGCACATAGTTATCCAGTTTTCCCAGCACCATTTTTGAATAGGCTATCTTTCCTCCAACAAATGCTTTTGACTCTTTTATCAATGAATACATATATCACAAAGTGTCTGGGGATGTCCCTGCATCCTCTATTCTGTTCCACATGTCTGTTTTTGTGCCAATACCGTGCGTTTTTACCACTGTCGCTTTGTAGTAGTATAGCTTGAAGTCCGGTATTCTAATGTCTCTTGCTTTACTCTTTTTTTGGGAGGGGTCCTAGGGATAGAACTCAGGACCTTGCTCTTGTGAGGCAGGCAGCTGAACCACTGATCCAAATTCCCAGCCCATCTTGCTTTACTCTTGTTGTCCAAGATTGCTTTTTCTATGTTGCTGATGCCCATTTCTTACAAGGGAGAAAGGGAGAAATATATATCTAGGATATATCTGAATCTAGTTAATCTTGAAATTTCTTCTACCAGATTGAGACATGTACCTTTATTGATTGCTCTGCATGTTTGGTGAGTGACCACAGGAAAAGCCATGGAGGCCAAGGAAGACCTTGTTATTTCTCAATCTCTTTTACTCCCTGCTATTCCCTTTATTGCACAAGTTGTCTAAGCTAACAAGCTTTATACCACACATGGCATTTAGAACACACTAGCCTCCAGAATCATAGGAGAGTATGCTAAATGCTCCTTAAAGGATTAGAAAGTCCTAATCAACAGGAGAGAAGCTGAGGATGGATTATGTGTGTGGTGTTTGCTTGGACTAAGGGGCCACAGGGAATACAGTGGACAGGGAGTGATGAGGCTGCTTCACACTGCATCTGACTCTCTGAGGGACAGTCATGCACAATTATTTTGGGGATAAAAGAGGGCAGCATTATTAATCCAGTAATGGAATTCCTATTGATTCTAGAAACAAAAGTACAGAGCATCACTATCATCATCCAGAGGCCAATGTCAAGCACAAAGAAACTTGAGTAAAAATAGGCTTACAAAAGAACATAGTAGACCCACATAATATAGTGCTCTTCAGTCATTAAAAAATAATAAATCTTGTCACTTTTGACAACATGTTTGGACCAGAGGACATCATGCAAAGTGAAATAAGCCAGGCACAAAAGACAAATCCTGCATGACCTCACTTATACATAAAATCTCAAAACTTTGAACTCATCAAGATAGTAGAATTGGAGTTAGCAGGGCTGGAGGTATGGGGTGTTCAGGGAACTTTAGTCAAAGTATACAAAATTTCATTTAGACAGAAGAAATAAGTTCAGGAGATCCATCACGCAGTGATTAGCTAATGGTAAGATATTGCATTGCTGAAAATCACAAGAGTAGATTTTGAGTTTTCGCATCACAAAAGTTTCCCCATAACAGCCCTTCTGTGTATGCCTTATCTCTCCCACAGCATCAGACAAGTGGGGTCCTAGGGCCCAGCAACAGGAGCTGCCTTATGAATGACTCTCTTCAGAACCATTAAATCAAAGAGAAACACACATCCTTTTCTTCAGGCACTACTTTTTGTTCTATTTGTTATGGTAATTTAGTCTTACTATATTAATAAGGAAGTTATTAATAAATAATAAGGAACGTTAATTAATTA